GAGGGTGGGGTGGGAACCGGGTGGAGGGGAGCTATGGGGGAAAAAGAGGAACAATTGTAATAATCTGAACAATAAAGATTTATTAGAAAAAATAAAAAAACCAAAAAACATGCTTAAGCAAAGGGAAGAATGGGGTAATCTAATAGAGGGGTTACTGAAATCCTTAGAGAGTTAGTAATTCTATCATTTAAAAAAGCCAGTGTTCTCAACAGATGAACTAACTCTTGGGTACTTTCAAATATGTTATGATTGATGTCCAAAAAGTTAAAATAACAGCTACCATTATAAAGTTCCAGGCACTGACATATGGTAGTTACTTAATATGCACCATGGTGGTTAAGAATGTGGACTCTGGTGCTAGACTGCCTAGATTCAAATTTCAGCTTTGCCAATTACTATATGTATATAAGCAAATAACTTCTCTGTGCCTGTTTTCTCATCTATAAATTAGGAATAATAATCATATTACCTCAAAAAGTTGTGAGGATCAACTGATTTAATGCATAAATGCTTAGTATAGTGCTTTATACATAGTAAGCACTCAAATATGAGCTGCTGTTATTTTTACTAATAATATATATTTGTGAGTGTATGAGGACTAAATTTTAATACTTTAAAAAAATGAGGCTAACCAAAGATTCAACCATTCTTAAAGTAGTTGTTGCTTCACCATTTTGTACCACATAATTATCTTTTAGTTAAGGAAGGATTTCATAATCCTGGTCCTATCTCAGTAGAAAATGTAGCAACAGGATTGCCATTATGATATTAGAAAAATAGCAAACTTTCAGAAAGAGTAAACAGGAATTACAAAGACAACCCCCCCCCCCTTTGTCCATTTTTACCATCTGGAAACTGATGCATTGGAATCATATCTGAGCCAGCCAAGAGCGGTAAAACCTCCGACTGCGTGGCAGGTTTCACTCTGGTGGTCTTCTTCTCCCCTTGTTTCCCTTTGGCCCAGAACCTCATCCTCGCTTTCTGAGGTCTATTTAGAAAAATAAAATAAAATAAAGGTCAAAATGGAAATCAGCCAGTTCCAGTGATAATATTTGTAACCATTTTAAGCAATATTGTAAGTATTCCTTAGTTCATTTAATATTCACATGTAAATTTAATCATACTTAATTTTTAATTTCACATTTAAATTTTATCTGAAAGGTAAATATTTTCCTCACCTAGAACACAGAAATAATAAGACCTAGACATTAAATAATTTCCTAAAATAAATGGCTACAAAGCAGTGGAACTAGGATTCCAACTCAGGTTTTCTAATTCTTAAAGTGGTTATCTCTTCATTCTTGTCCTTCTTCTAGCTAGGATTTAATGTATAGATAACATAACAAGAACGAAAATACTTTTAAAAAATCACTGATATGCCATCACTCTAAAACATATTAGTTTACATTTTGGGGGTAATTTCCTTCCAGTATTTATCCATATGCATATCTATTTTCACATCTTGTAATCATGATACAGATACGACTTTGAATCTTTCCTCTTACCATTATGTAACAAAGGGTTTAATGTTACTCTTTTATATTCATGAGTCATCAATATTATTTAAAAAAGCCACCACTTAACTTGAGTTGTTATCTTGCTCCAGGCACAGTACTAAGTGCTTGTATAGGATTACTTGTTACAATTATTACAACAAGCTTACTTTCAAACTATTATAACCATTTTACAGGTGAAAAACTGAAAGCTTAACCAGTAGGTACCTTTCCCAAGGATGCACACCTAGTGAGTGACAAAATTGCAAATCGCACCTACTACGCTATATTGCCTCATTCTTCGCAATGACATACTCTTTTATCACATAAACTAGTGGCCTGGTACACAAAATTCATGCG